CTAACTCTTTGATTTTCACGACTATAATAAATAAATTTAAAATATTCCAAACCTGTGACTGTGTGTTACACACCGCACAGTAGAAAAAACCATCTACAGGAGTGAAATCTGTTGAACCACAATTATTACAATATCCTGGCATTCATATATACTTCTTCTATTTCATGTCATCGATGTTTCCTTTTCTTTCACATATGAATCGCATTTTAAAATGACCAAATCTTCTGATATTCTGAACAAAAATAAAAAAAAAAAAAGAAGATACGCATAAAGCAATTAAATTTTGTGATCGAAGTAAAAAGTAATAAATTAAAGTAAAAAGTAAAAGAAGATCTCATAAACCAATTAAATTTTTTGATCGAAGTAAAAAGTAATAAATTCTGCCATATAATTATTCCACATATATATCCCAAATAATCGCAGGGATAAGGTTAGTTTCATGTGCCAAAAAATTGCAGCGAATATGACTTTATAATACTTTATCAAACTACAATACTAGAAGTGACACAATCATGATTGACTGACATTAACTGCATGAATAAATAATATCAGCAGTGATTTGTTTACATCAACAATCGAAATAAATAATATAAATAAGTAGCACATAAAATAATAATGCATTATTAATAAAAACGTGATATAGGAATACAATACAGGAAAATCTATATTACACTATCAGTAATAATGCAATATAGAACACATTTAACATAAGAAAACTTCGACTTCAACTTCTCACATATTCGTAAACGCTGCACCGTCTTGTCCTTAACTCATTTAATTTTTTTACAAATTTAAATTGATTTGCTGAAAATATAGCAATAGGATTGGGTTTTCAAAGTGTTGGTTGAATCCATTAATATTCAAACTTGATTGTTTAAATGCACCGCTATTACACCATAAATATGAATTCTTATAAATTTAAAATTTGAAAAAATAATCTTTGTTAAAAATTCTCTTAATACATTTAATCTTGAATACGATAATAGCTGTAACAGGATTTGGAGAATAGAAGAAAATGAATAAAGGTCAAGAAAACATCCCAATAATGGAATTTACAGCAAGAGAAGGATCGATACTCTTGTCTTAAAAATTACAAATTCTGAGTTGCTGCTAGAATCTTGCGAATACTACAGCACATTCACTTGCACCTATCTCTAGTAATACAATTATACTTAAGGCCGTCGAAAGCGTTATGTAATCATCAACACAACGGTTTGACCGTTGACAATATCCTGAATTCATTAGTATGAAGTACTTGATGGATTCATTATTTAATTTATTCATTTCTTTATAGCACGACGTTTATATACTTTCGGCACTTTATGAGTGAGAACATAACGTTGGGGAACTGGAAGAGGCGGTGAATAACCTTGCGGGAAAGCTGAATCCTCGAATGCCACTAAATAATCATCAGCTGCTGTAACTGGTACCTGATCGATTACTCCCTGAATAAGAAACACTATCTTATGAGATATAGATTTTCGTTTTTCCCTGTTTGATAATTTATTCAGACACAATATATGCTATTTAAAGAAAACTAATAAAATAGACAAAATTCCGAATATTAGCTATTATCATACTGCTTTTGTCTTCTGCATAATAAATTAACATCTAGCATAATTTAAATCTCTTTCAATGAATCTTTTCACAGTTCTAATACTTTAGTACTTACCTTATAAAAGCATGTTGTTTGAGGATAAAGAGCAAGAACGATAGCACCTACAGGAAACAGTGCATGACTGTCACGTAAAGGATCTGCACGCCATCTCGGTAACGGAATCATACGACTTCTTCGAACAATATATTTGGCTTTTTGTTCATCATCGACATCTTTAACTTCATATTTCGAGGATGCAAAAACACTGGTCACCTCAGCAAGCATCCATATTCCATCAATGAATGCCGCTACTTCCATACCAACCTAAAACTTTGCATACCATTAAACAGTCACTTAAAATAAATTTTAAAAAAAGTTGGATTAAAATCTTTTCACTGAAATTGAATTATGATCTGCAAAATCTTTGAAACCTTCAAAGACATCGATACAAATGCTGGAATGGCACCAACTAATGCCGGTGGATGAGTATCTGGTGGTCCAATCCAGAGCGGAGCAGTGCGCGCACTCTGCGATAACATTTGCATCAACTCACCACGACCTACTAAGTTACTGCGTTGTAACTCATATTTTCTTTTGCGTAACTTTTCGATATCTTCCAAAAGGTTCCTGACGCAAGTAGCTTCTACCTCGCAGGCTTTTTTAGCTGAAAAAAATTTTATAAATCAACATTTCAATTAACAAATAAACTAAAAAAGTAGCGAAAATAAAATTCCAAAAAGAAGTTTCAAACAAATATATATATGAGAGGAAATGAGTTAACAATACATTTATGTCTCTAATCTAGTACGAGAAAATCCAAAAAGTGGAAAACTTCAAAACAACTGAAAAATCCAATGTAATAAAATTTTTTGTAACTATTATTCAATCAATATGAAGAAATGGCAGAAAAAAAACTTAGCCCTTTCTCATGCCTCTACTGATTAAAATTACCCATGGAAAACACTTAAGAAACGTAAAATTCAAACTATGGAAAATAATTCTCTAAAATCACTAACACGCCATGCATTTAACAGATATACCCACAAATTATAGATGAAACAAAAGAAATACCGTTTTCGTACAGATTTAATACTCGGCTTCGGAGAGCACCACTCAATTTGCATCCAATACTGAGCTTATTCTTATCAACTAATTCCTGTAGGGTAGACAATGATTCATTAACTTTCTTCTTCAGCGGAATTACTGACTTCATCTGTAAGATATTATAAGCAGTTAAAACAAAACAATGGTTGTTTCTTTCTAAAAATATGATAGACTGAAAAAGATCCTAAGTAGATTGTTGCCTGGATAAAACTAGTAATCTATTCTTGAAATATTAGGCCCAAATAATCTATTCCATTAACAGAATTACCACAACTACTTCTGACAACTTGTTGCAGCTGTCAATCTCGGTAATGGAAAAAAACAAACACAGGTTTTCTGGAAAAGATGTTCAAACACTTTCTTCATTTAACCAACAGAAATAGAAATATGAACACTTGGTAGTGCTTTCTTCGCTTGCTTTAAAAATCCACAAACAAATTTTGTTCAGTGTTATTTACTGTTATCATTTTCAATCAAATAGGTTGGATCTCAAAAAAAAAAAAGAACATTTTGCACAGAAGAATAATTTAGTACCTTTTTCTGGATATCCTGTAGTGCAATTTGCAACTTTTCTTCATCTTTATCCAGCTCACTATTACGTCGTCGCTTACTTCGACGCATTCTTTCACTCAATTGCTTTCTTTTTTAGATCCCTAAAATTTGAATGGAATTTGAAGTATTGGAGTAACTAAGTTGAAAAATATAATAATCACTGTTTAACATATCTGTCCGCTTATATTCTAACATTCACTTAATATAATGACACTAAGGCACGCACTAAGGGCAATAGATTTAATCTGAATGAAATAAAAAAAAAAAAGAAACCTTTCCGGAATAACGAATTATAGCGTCAATGAGACTTCGATATGAAACACCTTTCTGCAGCAATTCCACGCAAACCAATAACTGAGATGGTGTTAGAGGAACACGAAGAAAAACGGCTAAACTTTCAATCACTAAAAATTGTCAATCAATCTACCTTATGAAAAGATTACTGCTAAGATTTTTACTTTCTTAGAACAAGTTCCATTAATAGAAATAAGCATGAAAACAAAAATATAAATGCACCATATACTAATTAAATTTTATCAAAATTTACCAATGAATAACTTACACTCAGTAGTTTCCTTCGATAACTGAATATTCTCTTTTAAGCCAGATTGCTGGAAACTCATGAGAACCAACCCTTGAAAAAAAAGAAGTCTTTCATTCGAAAGAAAAAGAGTATAATATTTCGTGTAAATAGAAAATATCGCCCAAGAGTCTTTTGTAAATTATTAACATTCCAAAATGATAGAACATAAAATCCTTGCTACAGAGGTCAGAGATCCTTTAAATTCAAATAAGCAAACTCCACAGCTTTATAATTAACTGATTAACCATCTTTTTTATCTTTTCAAATGCTTACAGCACAATTTAAGCAATATCCGTATTTTGTAAAAGTATATAAAAGTATTCGTATAAAATTTATTCATAAGTAGTCAACTTTCTTTCACTCAATTTATTCTAGTATTTTAACAATTTCTAGTAGAAGTAGCAAATGATATTATCTGACTGAACAGATATTTCGTACGATAGCATGAACCAGTATTGCTTAAACTCAAATAAAATGTACAAATTTATTCAAATTTATACTAGGAAAAAATAATTTCCAAACCATTTAAAAGTGTCATGTAAAAACAAACAAATTAAATACACTCTACATTCACTTCAAATTTCCTTCCCTTCTTCTCTTAAGCACTTCCTGCTCTGTTCCACATAACACGACATCAGTATTTTGAAAAAAAAAAAAATCACCATAAAAATGAAAAACACAAACTTTTGAAAATTTTTAATTTTTGCATTCCAACTATAAGTTAGATAATTTGTGTTTAGGTAATGTAATAATAGATTTTTCGGAAATGGCGATAACAGATTTGGATCACCTCAAGACGAAAACTCTCACATTTTAATTCGCCAAAGTAATTTGATATCTAATGCATGGATCAAAAGTAATGAATTTAGATTAACAAGAAATGACAGGGTTGAATGAATTAGTTTAGCAATAAAATTTTGGGAAATTTTCATCCTGAAAAGAACAATAAAATTAAGGCAATGTACAGAAGATAATCAACTATACAATTAATATAAACAAATCTAATGAATGTTTGCTTCTTTAGAAATGTTTAACAATTGAAGTAGCACATCTCACTCGTGAAAACCTCTTAATAGTTAAAAAATAAAATAAATAAAATAAACATAATGACTCTAAGTTTATTTATGACTCTCTCTCTCTCTCTCATCAAATGACATATTCTATTTACAGACAAACTGCTTGATGATCGATATTATAAAATACAACATCAGCATGTTGAACAACAGCTATTAACAACTTCCCATCAACAATCTTCAAACTTAACCAATGCAAATCAGAAACGGATGGAAATGGAAAACGAAAATTTACAATTAATAGTCGATATAATGGTTTAGGTGAAAGATTACGACAAAATGTACCATCACCCGCATATATATCATAGTCAATAGGTAAATGAATGAAATCTGAGACATCTGCTGAAGGATTCAATTTCAATATCTTTGCTCGCTCCTTACGATAATCTGACCAAGTTGGGACACGATTAGAGAATTGATCAAATCTTGGCCAGTAACGAGGTCTTAGAATTTCTCTGAAATTTCTTTGGCTCTCATCATATTTATTCCAATTAATTTGTTCGATGTTTGCAGTAGGAAAATCTTCACATACACCAAATACTTCCATTAATTTTGGATTACGACGAAAATTAGTCATTGTTAGTTTCATCGACTTCATAGTGGGAAACTGATCAAGAAGATTGACAGGAAAGAGAAATTTTGGCTTAAGCTCCCATTGCTCATCATTTTCATCGTCTATCGACGTTCCAAAAGCCTTGTACGGTATCACAACATAGCCAGCACGTTTTAAATATGAATAAACAAAAAATTTTTCTGGTGTAATTAGAAATGTTTGCAGTAATCGATAGCATTCCTGTACAGATAATTGCATTCCATGATGAAGAACAACAGCTAAGCCAACTTCGACCATCCAAACTACTTCCTCTACGAAAAAGTAATGACCATCTCTCCGTCTGATGCCCATCTTCATTTCACAAGCATTTCGCAATTGAAGTGCTTTAAAAACTTTATCCTCAGCATTATACTCAATCAATGTTAACCTCTGACTGCTTCGCGCATTGTCTGATACATACTTGAAATGGGAATTCACCGTACCACATCTTGTTTTACATTCCATTAGTATTCACTACAATAGAAAATTTAAATCTTCAACATTCTCTAATATAATTGAACTTTTGAAACTTAGCATATTTCAGTTGACGAAAAAAAAAAAAAAAAAAATTGCTGATCAATAGAGAGCACTCAAAAAGTACACTGCCCTTCATTAATCAAATTCCAGCTACCATTAATGAATTCGATTTAACTAACAGAAATATTCAATACTCAGTATTATTATATAGTAAACAAAATAACTTATTAATTGTTCAATATTCCAATTAAACTGATAATACTAGCAAAATCCAATATATATGCATTTCAAAAATCCAGAAACTTCAAAAATTTTATCCCAGACATTTGCTGCCATAAAATTTAATCCGTGAAAAATGAAATAACAAAGGTAATCCTATAAACACCCATCTCAGCTCTATCTCAGATACATCACGCCGTGAAGTCAGCCAATCCAAGGCACATTCCGTCGCATCAGTCACCTATTTTAATCTATTCCTGACTTAGCTATCGATAAGATATGTTCTAATATGCTTTAAAAATCTAAATCAAATTTTGAAAAAACGTAAATCTGCTGAAATAAGCTGACCAAAAATTTCAAATTATCAATGTCATTTGAAATTTCTCAACAATAATATAATTAATTCACTGAAATAACCCTTAAAACAAGGAGATCATATAGTGATATGTTGTAAACATATTATTCTAAAATAGTTTCAGGATAAGAAATTGAAGTATCTATTTTTTCCATTTTCCACCTACATACGCATCACGTTCACTCAATGCTACAATTATTAGCCATTATTTTTTTTAGAAAATAATAATTACACCTTATCTTGCTGTTTTTCGCTTTCGTCACAAGAAAAAAAAGAAAAAAAAAATCAGTTATCAATCACTAAGATAACTAACATTTAAAAGCATAAAACTGCCTTAAATATTTCTAAACCTTTACAATCTAAATATCAAAAAGATCACAAAAATTCCAAATTCTGCTATCCGAACTACTAAATTATGCTCTCGACTAATCAAAAATTATTCTAAGAATTTCGAATTTGGCAGCAACCAACCAATTTGTGCACCCTGACCTTTTTTTTTTTTTTTTTTTTTTTTGGATTTCTAATTCTGAAACGGTCTGAAAATGAATCATCCAGATGGAATATTATGAAAAAACCAGGTTTCAATAAGCCAAAAACATCAAAAATCATACTTGCATTGTACATTCATTCTATCGTACATTTACAAGTGTTATTCACATAATTCTAACGTGTAACACGTGTTACTATAATTTCTGTTAAATTTAATCAGCTATCACAATGATATGACAAAATATTGCTATTTTATATTTTATGCAAATTAGCTTTTATGCAAAATATTACTTCAAAACGATGTTCATTTATAAGTGAAATAATAACTTGGAAATTTATTTTTACCAAATGTTAGCTAACTGATTATTACTTTTAACGACTAATTCTTCCTTCTTTTTCTCGAGCCTATACGAAAAGTGTAGAGAATTATAACATGACGGATAGTGATGTTTATTATATCGGAAATTTAATTCTTAATGGTGCTGGCGATGGACAATCACCACAAGCTTTAAACTTAATACCATTGGTAATAATATAATAAAAGTAATCCAAAGCAAATGATAATAATATAACTGAATTCCTTGATAAGAAAGAATAAAAATTGAAATTACGGAGAATTTGTAAAATTGAATCTTATTGATTTAATTAACTTTTTTTTTTTTTTTTTGTTAATCATTTTTATTGTTCATTTTTGATTACTAACATATTCAATTTCCTCTCTCTCTCTCTCTTTTACTTTTTTTTTTGCTTCTCTCCTCTTTCTCTCTCATATAAAAACGATAAATTGTTTTGAATTATTGTTTGTTTCAGTTAAATTAAAAATGTTGCCTTTTCAAACTTTAATTTTAGATTTAATTTTAGATCATTTTTTTTTCTTTTTTTTTTTTTTTTTTTGTTTTAGCATCGACGAATCATAACACCTAATTATGCGCGTATGCAAATTAGACGACTTCAAATTGTGCGAAATTTTGTTGCTCAGCAAATTGAACCAATTCCAGAAAATATAATTGCACAAAGATTAATACAATTAGACAGAAATGAAAATGATGAATCTGATGATCATTCTCGAAGTAGTCAAGAACGTCGTAATCGAGATGCGCTACAGTTACGTGGTCGTGGCAGAGGTTTGAGAAGAAGAGCAGCTAGTGCTATTAGAAGAAATTCCAGAAGAAGAACAGCTAGTGCTATGAGAAGAACATCCACTGAAACATTCAGAAGAAGAATCAGAAGAAGAAGATCAATGACAAGACCTAGAATTAGATCACTGTCACCACCAAATTCATCCATTTTACAAACTGCAATTGAAGTATCGCAAAATCGTAGCATGCATGAAAATTTGAGGTTATTGTCCATGTAAATTTTAAATTTAAATTTTAAATATAAAGTAATTATTTATATGTAAGTGAAAATTTAACTGAATATGTGATATTATTCATTAAAATTTAGGATAAAGTTTAAAATCTAAACTAAAACTTTTTCTTTTTCAGAAGATGAAAATGATGATTTTTAATCTCAACAAAAAAAAAAAAAAAAAAAAAAATCAGCAAAAAAATTAGTGCAATAAAAGCTGATGAAGAATTTGAGCATTTTGCTATCGAATGCATCATTTCACAGCCAAACTTGAACATTCATCATTTGAATATTTCTTTTAATTCTATTTTCACACTTTGAACAAATGAATAAAGCAATTAAATAAATTCTTTATGTTCATGAAAAGAAAAAAAAATAAATAAATGTGAATCTTAAAAAAAAAAGAAAGAAAAAAAAGAGTTTGAAAATGAATGAATAAATTTTGGTACAATTAATCAAATTAGGCTAATTATTAATGGAATGAAATGAAATGAAATAAAATTGATTGTTAAGATCGTGAACATTCGTTACTTTTCATGAAAATTCTATTATCCGTTTAATATTTAATCTAAATTTTCTACATTTCTTCATTCATTCCGAATTAATTTGCATAAAGAATTTTTTTTTTTATTAACTAAATTTTGTGCAAATTAAAAAAAAAAAAAAATATCACACATTTTAATACTAACTATAAAAGAATTGTAAAAATAGGAATGAGTCATTTGGTTCAATTATAATTTACCGGAAGCAATTTGCTATTCCGGTAACTGTAATTTAATGGCAAAGGAAATATCTGTTGCAATACCAATGGAGGAAGGCGATCCACTTGGAGCAGTCCCCAATGATAAGCTTATCATTGTTAAAGTTCAACCCGGAACGCTTGCAGAGGGAAATCTTAAGGTTCTCTAAAAAACAGAAAAAAAAAAAAAAAAAAAACATTAATTACTCATTTTTCATACAGAATCTCTCAAAAGTAAATTAATATTTGGTCTGAAAATTTTATTCAAAAATAATTAATATTTAATCTGATAAATGTTATTCAAAAGTAATATTAATATTTGGTCTGAAAATTTTATTCAAAAATAATTAATATTTAGTCCGATAAATGTAATTCATTTATATGTTATAATTAGATTGGCGACCAGGTATTGAAATTAAACAATACAATTGTTCAAAATTGTGATCACTTCTTTCAATTACTTCGTTTTGCGCCACCATGCGCAACTATCACGTTAGTGAGAGATGAAAAGAAAGCAGCTGAACTTGAAGCAAAAGTTCTTATACCTCCCGATCGAGCTAAATTAATTACGCGTCGTGATGGATACATGTATTTCGTATGTTATACTTGGTTTTAATAATTATTTGAGACTAATAAAAACTTATTAAATTTACTTTTGCTGAAAGGTATTTAAACAAAAATAATATTATAATTTAGTAATACAATTACAAATAATTAATAATAATAATAAATAAATAATAAAAAGTCAAAGACAGCAAAATGAAACAAAAATATGTTATGCAAAGAATTATAAAAATTAGATAACAAGTTGATTAATTAAAGGTAGCTCGACTTGAATGGAAACCTGGTGGTCCAAAACTTGGTCTTGGTATCAAACACTACCAGAATCGTGTGCTTGTTTCTCGATGTGATCCAGGTTCACTAGCATCACAACAACTTCAAGTTGGAGATCATCTGATCGATATTGATGGTCATCCAGTCACTGATAAGGATGTTTGTCGTGAGCTTCTTCTCAAGAGTCTTCAGGCTAATCGTTTCGTTACAACCGTTGTAGAACGTCCGGAAACAATGGAAGCAAGACATTGGGTACAAGGCGCACTTGCCGCTTCCGTCGCTCAAGCTCCGTCAGTTGCTATGAATAGCGATGTACGCGCTATTGCAGCTCGAGAGCGACAAAAATTACAAAAAGCCATTGTGGTTTGTTTGTTTGTTTGTTTGTTTTTTTAAACGAGAAATTTTGCATTTCTAAATTTCCATGGATTTTTTCTCAAAAAAAAAAATGTTACATTAGCTAAATTTTTAATACATTATTGGTATTTATTGTAAATGATTAATTCTGAAGAAATATGAAAATGTTAGAATATTTGTAATTTTTAAAAAATATTAAATTTCAAAAAAAAAGTTAATTTTAGCCAAAGAAAAGCTGTTTAAGAAGAAGCACTTCAATGGGAAAACGAGTGAATATCGATGAGGGTAAAGCAATGGAATTTATAATTGCTAGTGATAACGAAGGCAAAAGTCTTCGTCATGTTCGCAAATAATTAAAATGATTCAGATGTCAAATTGAAATAATTGCTGTCACATAATCTCTACTAAAAATAAACACTATAATTTTTCTAGTAAACTTCATTAAGACGCTAATCGTACCAAAAATTTCTATAATTTGTTAGATAACAAATCAGGAAATGCCGGCCGGATCCAATTAATAACTGTTCAGGATGTCATTTTTTCCTCCTTTTTTTTTTTTTTTGTCACAAAATCCTTTTATTATATTTTGTGGATGAAGAAATCTATCACATATAAAGCGACAATCTATTTAGATGCAAAATGAGACTTTAAACACTTTAAAATTCTACTGCATTCAATAAACCGGTTATTCACATCGTTGCTGGCAAATTTTTTAATGCTCATTTTATAAAATTTTTTAAATGAGAGAAAATTGGACAACATTTGCTAGACATTTTTCTATTAAATGAACTTCGATCAGACAAAATTTAATCAAGAATTCTGAATTTCGAATTTTTCTGAACAAACGATTAATGAATGATTTAATTAGCGCCTTTTCCGCCATAAAATTATAGCTTATTTAATCCATAGATGTATGCATAATTGAAATCACAAATTTAAGAATGTTAACCGGTTTTCCAATCCGGTTTGTATATGATTTGCGTAAAATTATTAGAAATGGATTTAGTAAAAGATATATCAAAGATAATTCAATATGTTCATTGCACAGGTATAATTGCAAGTATAAAGTAGAGTTAGGTATTCATTAGAATAAATGAGATCGTTCTAACGTGGAATAGTTAGTTGGGTACGTTAACGTTGACGTACGTTAACGAATAGTGGTACCTATGGGTTTAGCAGTTGACGTGCTACTAGTAGTACTACGCATATATAGGTTATGCATCGATTGATCATACCTGTAAGGTGACACGATGTTTTCGTCACCTGGATATACCTGTAAAAATGTTAAATTTAAATTTTTTAAATTAAATGTTAAACATATTCTCTAAACTGTAATACTATGAATTCGTCATGTAGTATTCAATCATTTAAAACTTTAAATTTAACATTGCTAAGTAAAGAAAAGATCAATGAATATCTGCAAAATCATTGATCAGAAAAGATTCATTTAGAGAATCCGAAAAGCAAACATTGTAATCGTCGAATGAATTATTTTTCTGTTTGGATAAAATTAATGCTAATGTAAAATCATCCATATGAAACTTTCTGAACAAATTAGATTTAGAAATTATTAAAAGTAAAATCTAATAAATTAGATTTAGAAAATTAATTAATTGCAAATTAGAAAAACCCGATGCCATTGTTTCCGTAATTCATTGAATGCCATACGTAATCGAAGTTTTTGAATTTCTTTATCACGTTGACGTTCACATACACATTGATGTTGATACTAAATAATATTTGCGTTAATTAGCTTTTCTTATAATTAATATATCATCCATTTTATTGCTTCATTTTCAAATATTTTGTATGTTTAAAAAATTTGACACTTTTAAATCAATCATTTTGATCTGAAAACGAAACCATGTATAAATTTAATAATAACCTTTTTCTCGTCAACTTCAATTGATTCTTTGTCGCCTATTAAAAGTGTCACATTACGACGATTCTGAATTTCTGGTACAATTCGTATTTCTAAATTCATTGGTTTGTGGAGTTGTTTTATGAAAAAATGTGATAATGCTGAATCAACAATCTGAAATGTTAGACTGTTAAAATTGTGTAAATTCATTTAGGTAAATTTGAATTTCTCATAATTGGTACTAACTTTAGGTATAATTGTCAAATCATTGTCATATACATTTCGTAGTTTATACAAATTAGATGCTGAATCTTGTTGCATTTTAAAACAACCGCAAAACACCTAATGAACAAAAAAGAAACAATAAATTGAATATGAATTAAAATTAATTTTATAAAAAAAAAAAACTTGCAAAATAAAGTTAACAAGAAAAATTTCAATAATTATATATATATTTTTTTTTTGGAATTTCTTTTAAAAAATTTTTTTTTCTCAAATTAAGAATTTCAGATTTTTTTTTTTTAGAAATTGAAGTGTTACATCAAAATGCAAGTAAAAGACAAATTTAGAACCTGTTCAAAGAAAAGTAATTTCCATTCCTTTTTTTTTTTTCTCTCATATGTCCTAATTTTGGTAAATTTATCTTAAAAACACAAATACGAAATGCAAAACTATTTCAGGATCTGTTAGTTTAACAGGTTAATGAAAGAAAATACCAAGAAGATAAACTCTATCAGGTAGGAAGAAATTTCATTTTAGATAAAATTTATAGTTAGATAAGTAATCTTGGTAATTTTGAAATAAATAATAAAGTAAACGAGATTAATTTATAGTTTAGATTAAAATTTATATTTTATGGCATTGAATAAATGAGCGCTGATCATGATAAACTTATAAATATTCAACAGTTAATTTTATTCATTAGTGAATTCTCATTTTTAATTTAATTTATTAATTTTTTTTTTTTTTTTTTTAAATTAAGATTTAAGAATTTATTTCACACCAAAAATTGAAATGTTTACACAGTGGTAGTTGTGAAATATGTTGATTTATGAAGAAAGTATATGTATCTGTATATGCATGTATGTGTATGTGTGTGTATGTATGCATGTGTGTATGTGTGTGTGTGTGTGTGTATGACAAGTAAACTGGTTGATTGTATTATTTTTAAAATTTTATTTCACTACTTCAAAATACACTTTAACAGGTAACAATTTCTAGAGAATATAAATCATTGAACGAAATTTTCCATTTGCAAAATTTACGGATAATTTTATTGATTTCATATTGCATATAACTTCCGGAAAATTTGCAATTTTATTCATATGACTTATAAAATTATTATTGTTTAGAAAAAAAAAAAAAAAAAAGAAAAAAAAAAGAGGAAAGAAAAACGAGAAATTGATGAAAGTTTAAAGAGCTAAGAATCATTTCATTTTATTTTATTTTATTTTATTTTATTTTTTTTTTTTTTTTTGCGTTGCGATTTATTTTCAAAAGAAATACAAAAATTTTTGTATCATTTAATATACACATAAAAGATAGATTAGAACAGATATTTGATCTCTATGTAAAATATCGTTAAACAAAGATTATTGAATTATTTTTATGATAAAGTATTAATTTTAAAAAATTAAACTAATTTTTCTAATTTTAACAATATTTACATTTAAATTTAATTACTAATTTATAGCTTTTGCTTTTAGGAAAATATTAATTTCAGTAAATGATAAAATATAATAATTATCATTGAAGAAAATCTTGACATGCCATCATTTTGATCATGAATTTGGCATATGTCACCATACATTTTCCTATTTGTCCTTTCATTGTTGATCATTCACCTTCATATATTGTGTCATACTACTTTCTGCTTCCATAATACTTCATAATTTTACTTTTCAATCGCTGATTAATGCATACAATATTTTAAACTAATTAAAAAAAGCTACAAATACAAATAATCCACTTATTCAGTCAATTTTTTCATTTTTATTTGTTGATCTATATTGAAATATCTAAGTACTGAGAAGAAATAATCCATTTGTTAAATTATTTAATTCTGTCTAATTTAGTTAATCTAATTCGAATTAATCTAAATCTTAGATAGACTCAAAATGGATATAATTTGCAAATGATATATTATTACTTGAAATAGATTTTTAATTTGAATTTTTAATTTGATTTGAAATAGGTAAAATGAAATTTAGGTAAGAACTTTTCAATTTGAAATAGGTAAAATGAACTCTCAGACTGAATCATCATCATCTACCTGTGTTACCCACGACATTTTGTCGTCGTTGATGTGAGGTATGCGATGCGTGTATGTATGTGTATGTGTGTGTGTGTGTGTGTATGTGTATGTCTGTGTATGTGTGTATGTGTGTGTATGTATTGGATTAGAGTATTGTTGATGGATGATGATGACTCATTCACTAATTTTCACCACCCCAATTTCTTTGAAGGCATTGCGAAAAGGCATAGTAATTTCATTGTATTCCAAAATGTCATTCTCTCCCTCTCTCTCTCTCCCTCTCTCTCTCTCTTTCTCTCTCTGTCTCTCTTTCTATATCTCTCTTTTTTTAATCTGATGAAAATTAGGAACGATTCTCATTATACATCGTTTTTTTTTTTTTTTTCTTTTTTTTTTTCATAAAAATTCTCCTAAAATAGCTTTTTTATTGTTGAAAATTTATCGTTTCTCTTTTTTAAAATTTCATTTTATATTATTTCAATTCGAATAAAATCGAAATAAATATAAATTGGTTGGAATACTTAATGCATTTAATAAAATTGCATATTATAATTCTGAGAAATAGATAAAATTGCTGCATGATATAATAGAAATTATAAGAAGAGCATCTTTTCTTGTTTATTTTGTTAATTTATATTTCATAGCGGTCTGTTGAATTGTTCTTCTCGTTTATGATTTTTTATTTTTATTTGTTAACTTTTTGATTCATTAATATATTCTTTAATTTATTCAATACTTAAAACCATGAATCTATGCTATATCTTAAAACGTCGTTTTTCATTTCGTTTTCTGTTTTCAATAAATTCTTTAATATATTTATATTCCTTAAATGTTATTATATCATTGATCTATTCATCATCGACCTGTTCGTAACCCGATATATCATTGATCCGTTCGTAATCGATCTGTTCATCATCTGATATGTTCGTCATCGATTTTTTTCGTGATCCGATATGTCATTGATCAGTTCATCATCTGATGTTTTCATCATCGATCTGTTGGTGATCCGATACGTCATCGATCTGTTCATGATCCGATATGTCATTGATCTGTTCATCATCTGATGTGTTCGTCATCGATTTTTTTCGCGATCCGATATGTCATTGATCAATTCATCACCGATCTATTCGTGATCGATATGTATTGATCTGTTCATCATCTGATGTTTTCATCATTGATCTGTTGGTGATCCGATATGTCATTGATCTGTTCATTATATGATGTATCATCGATCTATTCATCGTCTAAATGTATCATCGATGTGTGTTTATCATTTCATCTTGTAAACCGTATTAATCATATCATTTCATTTCTCTCTTCATCACTTTTCCAATTTCATTCATATCAAACTGACCAATAGAATAATTCATTCCTTTTTTTTTTTTTTTTTTTTTCTCTCTCCTTTGCGATTTGTTTATTACATAACCAACAATTTAATATTCGGGTCGCTTTGACAATTTTTTATTTTATCAAGGTACGACCCATACACTAACTCTGTTAATGTAGGCCTCCGGTAATCACTACCAACCGATATTAGTGCCATCTTGTGCTCAGGTTGAAATTTATGAGCTTTTTTTCTTTTTTCTTTTAAGCATTTTGATTGTCAAATTGCTTACATTCCTTGTTTTCTGGTTATTTCTGAAATCATGATAATGATAGCAAATAATGGAATATTTTTGTAGACAATTTCTAAATTTAATTTCAAAATTGTAAAAATTGGAAATGAGTATATGTTAGTTTTAAGATTGCTTATTTAAAATTTGAGCAAAAAAAAAAAAGAAATAATCTTTAAATGACTTTAAAAAAATAATTCTTTTCCATTTTATTCTTTCCTTCCATTTATGTCATTTCACAATAGCAATTTTAAATTTATATGATAAATAACAGCAATATACTTATGCCATAGGTATTTTACAGTTTTATTTTTATTTTTTTAAATGATTGCAATTAATAATACTGTGAAAATGTTTATCACTTATACCTGTACTACTAATAGTATACTAATTTATCATTTGCATATTTGAATTTATTACTTAAGAATTAGTAATTCTTTTTTTTTTTTTTTTTTGTTTCTAAAAGTGTAATTCTTGCAATGGAATATTAAGTATTTCTATTACTGATGAAATGATTATTCATCATCAGTCACCCTTTTTTTGAAAAAAAAAAAAAACTATTTCATTTCAAATTTCAAGTCCTGATTCATACCATTAACTAAGCGTTGACATCTGCAGTGACAACATTTCATAATTCTTCTTTCAATCATTACATTATTATGCATAACATTTTTATCAATTGCAATTATTATTATCATTGCTGGATTTAATCTACATTCTTATCAGTATTGTTTATTATTTTTGTTATTATTGTTATTTATTATTATTATTATTATTATTATTATTATTACTATTATTACTATTATTATTATTATTATTATTATTATATTGTTATTATTATTAATTATTACTATTGAAATTTTTGGATTACAGTGCTTAAAATCCTATTACCAAATCACCTGAGAGGTAACTTCGAAGACGACATTAAATTACGAAAAATATAATAGTAATTATTATTGCCATAATAATGACATTTCGGCAATATTTATAGATACCATCACAATAATTATTATCATCATAACAACTTCACATTAATTATCGCTAATGTTGATACCACTATCATTATAATTATTATTATTATTTATTATCACTACTATTATTATTTATTGTTATTATTATTATTATTATTTATTATTATTTTTATTATTACTATTTATTATTATTATTTGTTATTATCACTATTATTATTATTTATTGTTATTATTATTTATTATTATTATTATTATTTACTGTTATTGTTACTATTTATTATTATTATTTATTATTGCTATTACTATTGTTATTTATTGTTATTATTATTTATCATTTATTTATTTATTTATTATTATTATTGTTATAAATATCATTGTTTGTTGCAGTAATTATTATTATTATCATACCATTAGAATATTTTCATCGTTATTATTAATACTAATATCATTTGCATTATTATGATTCATTGTCAAAATTAGAAA